TGGCACACCGAGAACTTAAAATTGTAAGAAAAAAAAATCACAAAGAAAAAAAATAATCTTTACGACAACATGAGCATGAAAGACCTCCAAAAACAACACTATAAAGACAGAAAAAACCCTCAAACACCAACTCCAAACAGCAGATGCATGAACCAGAAGAACTTCCAAACTAAAAAATCTTCAATGAACTCGCAGCAGCTAGTGATGTGGTGACTGCTCCTCGTCTAGAAACGAAGCCATCATTCCCTCTCACGATCGCTGCAGCCACTTCCACCTTTCCGTTATTTACAGCTTTTGGCAGTGCACTTTTCGCTTTTTGCCTAGTCAGCTTTTTCTCTATTAGTTTACTTATGTGCAGCCTGGAGAGGGCAAGTTAGTTTTTCGATTACACAAAATAGACTCAAACGAGTATTCTCCTCTTCTTCTGAATCCCGTCTCCTGTTCCTTCTTCCTTTCCTAACCTTTTAATCTGTTTCTCTTCAGAGATCTCACTTCTCTTATTCTCTGTTTTCCTATTCCCTGTTCTGCTTAATTTGTTTCTTGCAGGTATCACACCAAATTGGTATCAGAGCCAGTCGCTGAGTCACAATGGCGGAAGGCAGCAAGCGACCAACCGTGGAAGGCGATCGGAGCTTAGACGCATTGTGGAATGCTCAGATGAACATTACGCGCCAAATAGAGGCGCTCACTAATGAGCTCGCGCGGTTCTCTACGGAGGTGCGAACAGAGCTCCGCTCCATACGAACCAACAGGCCGTTAACCACAGGCGCTCGACTCGTGACACCGATTCATACCGCAGCTCACCAGCAGCCTCGCCTTCGGCGACAAACGACGGTCACACATGTCACCTCTGATTCCGAGAACGAAGCCGAGTTTCAAAACCAAGATGCGTCCGAATCAGACGACGACGAACGGCAGATGTATTATGAACCACGAAGATATCCCGTTCCTCGCCGACAGCAAGGGGAGTTTCGTATCAAGCTCGATATTCCTTTTTTTGAAGGCCGTCTTAACATTGAGGAATATCTGGATTGGGAAAGAGCAGTGGAGGCTTTCTTTGATTATATGGAAATAGCTCCCGAAAACAAGTTAAGTATGTTGCTTGTCGCTTGAAAGGGGGAGCCGGAGCGTGGTGGATGCAACTGATACAATCCCGGCGAAGAGAGGGAAAGGGTGCCGTAACCAGCTGGTACCGAATGAAGCGACTGCTCCGCGGACACTTCTTGCCAGTCGATTACGAACAAATGTTGTATGTTCAATATCAGCATTGCTCACAAGGGGGGAAAACAGTGAACGAGTATATATACAGAAGAGTTCTACAGATTGAGTGCCCGCAACAATCTGAATGAATCCGAAAACCAACTCGTCGCGCGATATATAGGCGGACTACGAGAAGCGATCCAGGAGAAGCTGGAACTTAATTCGGTCTGGAAGCTGTCGCAGGCGGTAAATTACGCTCTCAAAGCCGAGTTACAACTTAGCCGTCACCCAAGGAATCGCACTATCAACCGGTATCATAGTGAGCAGACTGGAGAAACAAGCAAACCACTGACCCACAGCGGCAACAAACAGACGGCAGCACCATTGGGTGGAGCAGGTATTCTTGGTCCTGAACCAAAAGCTGCATCCCCTTTTCGGGCAAAATTTCCAGTTAAGGATGCCAATCCTTATGCTAAACCAACTACAATCAAATGTTACCGGTGTTTTCAACCGGGACATAAGTCAAATGACTGTCCGAATCGGCAACAGTTACACTTAGCAGAGGGCGAACCCGAAGATGAACAACATTTTGGAGAAGATGTCAATGAACAAGATTTTGAAGATCTTCAGGCTGATGACGGAGAGCAACTAGTATGTATTCTGGAGAAGCTACTGCTGGCTCCACGGCAAACCAATAACACTCAGCGACACGCCATTTTTCGGACGCGATGCACAATCAACGGCAAGGTTTGTGACATGCTTATCGACAGTGGTTGCACCGAAAACATCATTGCCCGTTCGGTGGTGCAAAAGCTCCA